AGAGCTCCCTAGGGTATTTAATATTATTGGATTTTTAAAAATCATGCAGACCATTCAAGGACACGGCGCTGTAAATCCGTGAATGCATTGTATTGTGTTGTAAGAGGACTCAGGACTCTTTGACAAATGGACCATTTTGGCCCAAAGTAACACAAGGAAGGAACAAGATGAGTTTTCTTGGCCTAAAGTTCCTCGTGGCTTTCTGGGAGTTTGTGTGATTTATTTAAGACCAGCTAAGCCGTGGGCCTGCAATGTGTCCATTTAGAGAAAGGGCCTGTGCCAAACTTAGGGTCAAAGTTCTCACTCTGCTTATGCTGACCCCTGTCACCTGCCCTAACCAAAAAAGGTTCTCAGATGTGAGCTCAACTCTGTCCAGTGACGGCAGAAAAAAATATATCTGTTGCCAGAAAGTGGATTCTCTGGTGTTGAAGAATGATCCTTATTTATGTCTGCATAGGTACATTCTGGGGCCCATAAAGGTTTAATTGTCCCTCTAACTAGTTTTTTAAAAAACCCACAAAGAGGCTGCCAGCTTTCCCCAGAGTTTAAAACCAACTGAATGCGGTTCTGTGGAAACTGCTTTAAGTGTGTAACTCGCGCCGTGTCCCAGGGCACAAGGCACGATTGTTTTGGGGACTCCAAAGATGCAGCTCTCAGGAGGACTTTTGAAGTCAGTTTTTGTGACTGCTGCTGACCCTGGGTTGCTCTGCAAAGAGAGCGAGAGAGAAACTTCTTCATCCAGGATTTCTCCCGTGGTACCACTGCCCCCTACTGCCACCTTCCGGTTCAGGGGATACCTCAGTGTCACAGGACCCTAGATGTCATTCCTTTTCTCCTGAGAGAGCTAGATATTTCCACAAAGGTCACTCATGCAAACAAACGTGATACCGAAATGTGATGAGCGCTATGAAGAAAAAGTACAGGGTGTTGAGAAAAGCTAGCGGGGAGCCATGGAAGTTTCTCTGAGGAAGTCAGGCCTTATAAGTTAGATCTGCAGGATGAGAGGGAGTCAGGGAGGTGAAGGAGCTTTGCTTGAGCAGGGAGAAACATACTAGATGGAAGGACCAGTATGTGCAAAGACCCTGAGGCAGGAAGGAACAGAGCATGTTAAGATGTGGCTGGAGAAGTTGGCAATAAACACAACTTCCAGAGTCTTCTTTGTCCTCTACGTTGAGCCTCCTGTCCCTTAAGATTTGTGATGGTTTCCCCATCCATCACACACACTTTGCTTTAGGCTTCAAAGAGCCACCTCCAGACGGCCCCAAGATTACCTCCACCCTTCTCAGACTCCACTTGGGGTCTTGTGAAGAAAACACATTTGTCAAGCGACTAAAGCAAATAGTTTTGACATGCGGTTCTGTACCGTTAGGGAGGCCATAGTGAAGTCAATCCCAGTTTACATGACTCCAAATGGTTCCATTTAAATGTCCCACCCTGTATTTACACATCCCTACCACTTTAGTTGGCTGTTTATCTTCCAGTGTACTCTACTCTGCTTGTAGTCTAGGCCTCTATTTAACTCCATCCCTTACTTTTTCCATCTCATGACCTATCATTTACATTTTTTTTCTTTAGGAAATGTAAATATTTATTTACAGCATTAGCTTTTACTCTTGCATTGCTCTATACATTATGGAGTAAACAGACTGTGATATGGGTTCTACTACTGAATTTTCCATAAATTGGTGGTGACCTTAGCCAAGTCATTTAACCTCACTGAGCATAAGATATGTCTTTGTAAAATGAGATGTTTTTCCTTTTTGTTTTAGCTAGCAAATCTGTATCCGGGATTTCTCTTAAAGTCTGTGATTCTATATCTTTTACATCTTTGTCTATCCACCTCTCTTTCATGATGTCTTTGCAGGTCAGACTTTCTGTATAATTTGGTTTTGAGGGGTAGTGTGCACAGAATAGAATTTGACAAATGAGAATAAATCATACTATTGAGATTGGGTTTAGGCTCACATGTATGGGGAATGGTTGAACAGTAGAAAATTCTAGTTGCAGGCTTGAAATTCTCACAGGTTGCTTTTCAAACTGGGGTGTGGGTACCCACAGGGTACAGAAGCATGACAGTGAGTATAGGAAGCCCTTCTCTCTAGAAAAATAATTCTATTCAAAGATTTGAGAAGGGGAAATCTCCCCTTCAAATATGCTTTGCATATTTGTATAAACATGGAGAGTATTAAAACATACATGGATATATTATGAATAGAAGATAAAAGTCACATGACATCTTAGTATAAAAAGGGAGCCATAGGCTGGACAGCTTTGGGATTACTATAGTGTGAACAGAAACATGGCTTTTACTTCTGTTTTTGAGTTGCTGGAGAAATACTTGCCTTATGGGTCTTTTGAGGTATGTGCACTTTAATAGGGTAAAGGTGTTAGATTACCAAGGAGGAACATTCCTGCTAAATAATTGACATATGTAGGAAATCCAGTTTCAGCCAGGGTCCTGGAGGTTGAGGGAGAGTCTGGCTGGACAGAAGACCTATCTCCAAAGACCAAGTGAGGTACAGAATCTTGCAGTACTGGCCAAAGGCTGGGCTTGAACTGATCCAAACACCTGGATGATCTCTCCCCCTCTATGTGACCTCCAGTAGACCTTGTTTGTACCCCAGCCCTGGTGCTTACAATGCCATTAAATGTTAGTTTTATTTTCTTGCATGTAGGTTTCTCAGAGTCAGGCAGATGGTGTGAATTAAGAAAAAGTATGTGATCAAGAGCCAAGACCTTCTTACCTTGTGATTCTTGCTTACTCCCTGAAATCTCTCAGATCCCATTTGCTCACCTATTAAATGGTCCAATATAACACCTACCTTGCCTACTGAATAGCTAGGCTTGTGTTCAGAGCGTATGGATTTGCAATGTAAAAGGACTGAGTAAATCATTAAACCAAAATCAGTGATTAACTAAGACCCCAAAGGGAAGGAGGGTATATCTCTCACATTATCTTTCTATTCCCCCAACCTCTAACTTTTGCCTGGTTAGTTCTGATAAGTATTAGTGATAAAAGATCATGAAATGCTGTACCTAGTCTGACCCTGGGAAAATTCTAATTTGTGTTCTCTGCTACCCCCAACTCTTTTTCCTCTTCTATCTGCAGTTTCCCACCCCCATGTTCTGCACAACTTTCGTCCTACTGACTATCCCTGAGAATTGGATATTAAGAGCACACTATTTCATTGATACAAATGAACTGTTACGGGAATTTCAGGCATCATTAGGGAGAGTTTTACAGCAATCCTTTTTTGTGGGGGGCAGGAACAAATTGGTATTAATTTATAAGCTTTCTCCCAGACATTAAACTGCCCAAACAGATTCCTGGATGTTTTTTAAAGAGAAATTAACTGCCCAGTCTAAATACCTCTCTCATAATAATGAAGCGACTATTTACTGAAGTGGCTGGTGGACATACATTCTTCTCAAGAGCACATGGAACATTCTCCAAGGTAGATCGCATGTTAGGGCATAAAACAAGGCTTAGTAAATCTAAGTCAAGTATATTTCCTGACCACAGTGGTATGAACTAGAAATCAGTAACAGCATGAAGGCCAGTCTGCCTCACAATTGATCCTCTAAGAGAAATGTCAGGAAAGGGCAAGGAGGAGGAAGGTTAGTTTGAGATATTCTTTGGGTGAACGGTAACTTTCTTCCTTTCCTGGGATTGAACCCAGGGGTGCTAAACCATTGGGACACATCCTTGGCCCTTTTAATATAATATTTTTAAAATATTTTCTTTAGAGACAGGGTCTCACTGAGTTGCACAGGGCCTCGTTAAGTTGCTGAGGCTGGCTTTGAACTCTCAATCCTCCTGCCTCAGCCTTCCAAGTGTCTGGAATTATAGACATGCACCACCACTTCCAGCTAATTCAGTTTCTTAGGCGATACTTTATTTTTTTAAGTTAAAAAACAAAAACAAACAAGCAAACAAAAATACCTTTTATGATAAGAAATCAGGTCAGTAACGGAGAGGGGTGGGAGAATGTGGAGTGGAGATGTCATTTTCAATTTCTCTCCCCAAGGGGCAGGGATTGGGGGAAGGGGAGACACTCCGGGTCCTCGCATCATTCCAGAAACCACAGATCAGACTCAGAATCAGGAGAGGACGGTGATCTGAAGCCAAGGAGCAGGAGGGCCGGCCCCCAAGTCTCAGGGGAGCCCCTGGCAAGCCATCTTGCGGGAAGAGCCTGAACGCCCCCAGCCCACCTCCCGCCCTTACAGCTTTGCAGATGACTGACCCCGGGCCAGACACCGTCCCTGCTATCGCAGTGGGGGGAGGGTGCACTGAAGCAACAGCCCTCCTGGGTGTGGTGGTGCTTCTCCTCGGGCGTGTGCACAGCCTGAGGGAAACCCACAGACTGCTCGCCCCTAAGTAGTTCCAGGTGATCTTTTCCAGCGGGGCGCGAGCGGGTCGGCCTGGTAACCGGCGGCCTGGCTAGGGAGCACGAGCCTGCAGCTCCTGCCTCGGCGGGTTACGGGTGGCCAGCAGCCAGTGCCCCGCCCGGTTGCCCCGGGCGACCTCGACGGTTTGTTTTCGGAGCGGGACCCTCCCACGCGCGCCCCTGGCCAGCGGCGGGGGCGTGCGCCTGGTGGGCTTCGTTGTCTGCGTGTCTCCGCGCGGCCGCCCCCGCCCCGCCACCCCGCCGCGGTGGTTCGGTCCCGGACGCGAGGCAGGAGGCGGCCACCGGAGCCGACGCCAGAGTGGGCGGCCAGCGGCGGGGAGAAGGTGAGAGGCTGCGGCCCGACCCGAGCGGGGCGCCCCGGAGAGGTGGTCCCCGGCGGCGGAGAAAGGGGCCTGGCCGCCCCGCCGCCCGGGGCTCCTGGTCTCAGCCCTGGGCTGGCCTGTCCCCCTGGGCGCCCCAGCTCCTGGAGGCTGGTTGGACCCCCGAGGAAACTCTGAAGCCGCCGCCCGGGCCTCAGGACCCCCTTGGCGGTCGGGGAGCCCCCTCCCCGTCGCCAACAGCACACCATTTCTCCCCCACCCAGATACCACCAGCAAAATGCCCGACATCAAGGAGAATGTGCCCCCAAAAGAACCTGGCAGAGGCTCCTGCGAGCCCGAGACCTCAGAACCGACCCAGGAAGACGAGAACAGCTCCCAGGACAACCCTTCGCGTAGGTCCAGGTCCCCGAGACCCTTTGGGGTGCCCCGTGTGGGTCCGATCGATCGCAGGGAGCCTGCCCGCTGGGCTGCAGCGCCATTGAGGGGACCACGTTGAGGGAGCCCCAGGTGCTCTCTGGCGCCCTCTTCTCCCCCCTGCGCCTGTCCCTGTCCCTGTCCTGTCTTCACTTACAGGCCTAGGCCCTCTGTGGACTAGAGGGCTTCAGAGAGTCACATCTCCGAGGAAGAAGCCACGTGGGATTACTTGAATCTAAGATTTGAGGCTGAGTCAGTTCTAAGCCATCTTTGGGACTTGAGTGGAAAATGACAGATATCTGGGGTTAATTTTTAAAAGAAACCTCAAATTCCCTAGATGGGAATTGTGTTTTTTAGGTACTTTGTTGGCCTGAAGTGATGCTGTCCTAGGCTCATACGCAAGCTCTGCACCCTGTAGATAGGTGTCCTTTGGTGTTCATATCAGGTCACCAGGTCTCTTCCACACTAACTGATACGTCAAACCTCATGGAGTCTCAAGCCATCAGTTTGAAGGGCTGCCCACGTGCAACAACTTGAGCTAAAATTCGTGAAGATGGACAATGGGAAAATTTAGTTCGCACTGAAGTTAAATTAGACTCATTTCTCTTATGACCACTCGGGGTCGCTGCTGGTTAACAAAACGCACCCAAAAGGCGCACTGGCGCGCATTGGACAGATGGGACCCGATGGGTGAAAGATTTTTTTTTTCCTTACAGTGATTATTTAAATGAATCCCTAGGTGAGATAACTCACAGTAAAGTGAATAACCATATTCCTTCAAAACATTTTTTTTAATTTTGTATATTTTGACTAGGTTAAGTTACTATTTTATCTTGAAAAATTCTTTGTCCTTGGAATTGTTTTTGTTTGTTTGTTTGGTACCAGGGATTGAATTCAGGGGCACTAGACAACTGAGCCACATCCCCAGCTCTATTTTATATTTTTTAGAGACAGGGTCTCACTGAGTTGCCTAGTGCCTCATTTTTATTGAGGCTGGCTTTGAGCTTGCTGCTATCGTCCTGCCTCAGCCGCCGGAACTGCTGAGATTACAGGTGTGCACCACCACCCCTGGCAGCATCTGGATTTTTAAAAATCTATTTTAGTCACATTTTTATCTCTAATTATTCTTGAGCCCTCTTTCCTGAATCTTAGAGCGTTCCTAGAATGGCTTAGTGCTGTACTTGTGAATAACTGAATAGTCTTTCAAGGCTGGCTGTGAACTTTGATTTGTTACAGGGGGAAAATCCTTTAGTAAACTATTGTGGCTAATTCTCATTTAGCATTATAATTTAGCAGAGATTCTGCATATTTGTGTTTTGCCATTTTGACTGGAACTTTTTCTTAAGAGAAGCTGTAAAAATCGAGGGAATTTCGCCCACCCACTTGATGGTTCAGCTCAACTTTGTTCACCTAAGACTGAATTTTTTTATAAATGTCTAGAATCACATTTTCCCCTTAACTTTTTAGTTTGAAATACTTCAAATTTGTTGAAAGTTAAAAAAGTGAACACTTACATTACTTTTCTCCAATATTGCCTTTTTTCTCTCCATATCTGTATTTTCTCCCCTATACTGTCCCAGAGACTCCACTTTACCTCTAAAACTTTATCATGTTTCTAAGAAGGGCACTGTCTTGTGTAAATTCTTTTCTATAATAACTTTTCTTTTTACATTTTAAAATCTTTGACTATAGGAAATTTTTATAAAAGCAGAACTAATATAATGACCCACCTCCATTTACCCATCACCCAGCTTTGACAGTTATCAGTTCACAGCTAGGGAGGCTGAAGCAGGAGGACAGCAAGTTGGAGGTCAGCTTCAGCAATTTAGTGAGACCCTGGCTCAAAATAATAAAAAAAAAATGGCTGTGAATGAAAAGGTTCATTGGTGGAGGGCCTCTGGCTTGAATCCCAGTACTGCAGTGAAATGGGAGGACTAGAACTGTGGTTTCCAAATGCTGGTGCTGGTCTGTGACAAGATTCTTAGCAATATGAAATTATTATTAGCCCAAGGCATGGTAGTGCATGCCTATAATCTCATCTACTCTGGAGGCTGAGGCAGGAGGATCACATGTTTGAGGCCAGCCTTCAGCAATGTAGCAAGACTCTTTCTCAAAAAAATGAAAAGGGCTGGAGATGTGGTAGAGTGACCTTCAATAATCTGTACCAAAAATAAAATAATAATAATAATAAATATATATGTACATATATATATGATATGTTATTGGCAATGAAATCATAAAGAGATTGTAATGACTTTTCCTAAAACTAAAAGTGAAATTGATTCAGCTTTAATTGCTCTTTATTTTGACAATTTTTTTTTTTTAGATTAAATGATCCTTTCTTTTACAAAATAATTTTGGCATACTAGAGGGGAATTTTTTTACATTTATTTATTTATTTTTAGTTGTACATGGGCACAATATCTTTATTTTATTTATTTTTATGTGGTGCTGAGAATGAAACCCAGTGCCTCTCGCATGCTAGGCAAGCACTCTGCCACTGAGCGACAGCCCCAGGCCATAGAGGGGAATTTTTATTGCTTGTTTTTGCTTGTCCATAGTTGGTAAAATAAAAGTTGGAAAGTTGTTGTCAGTTGCTTAAAATATTTTTGGAAATTTTATTACTCTGTGAAATTCTAAAATCTGGGAACTGCTGCCTTAGAAGACTAATTGACACTGGCACTGCTCAGTGACATCTGAGTGTCATTTCCAGTGGGAATCTGGCTTTCATCTTTGGCAGGTAGCAGCAGAGGCAGGAAGTGAAAGGACTTTAACACATCAGTGTTTATTCTCTACAAATCATAAGTTGTTTCTTTGCAGTTTTGTGATTTTACTTTTTTTTTTTTTTTTTGAGACACTTGGAATTGAACCCAAGGCTTCATACATGCTAGGCAAGCACTCTGCCTCTGAGCTACATTGCCAGTCTTTTTTTTTCCATTTTATTTTGAGATATGATCTTGCTTAGTTTCTCGGGCTGGCCTCCAGTTTGCAATCCTCCTGTCTCAGCCTCCTAAGTAGTGTGATTTTAAGAGAATGAGAGTGTGATTTTTTTTTTTTAAGAGAAAAGTTTTTAGTTAGTTTCACTTAATTTTTTTTTTTAGAGAGAGAGAGAGAGAGAGAATCTTTTTAACATTTATTTTTCAGTTTTCGGTGGACACAACATCTTTATTTTATGTGGTGCTAAGGATTGAACTCAGCGCCCCGCGCATGCCAGGCAAGCGCATTACTGCTTGAGCCACATCCCCAGCCCTAAATTTTTTTTTTAATTTCTCTCTCTCCCTCCCTCCCTCCCTCTCTGTCTCTCTCTCTCTCTCTTTCTATTTTTACATGGTGCTGAGGATCAAACGCAGTGCCTCACATGTGCAGGCAAGCACTCTACTACTGAGCTACAGCCCCAGCTCTCACTTAATATTTTTTTTTAATAAACTAGCCTCTTTATCTTTTCCTTTCCCCTTTTGTTGGACTACCCTAAGAGTTTCCAACACTGTCATGGGGCAGGGAGTTCAGAAAACATAAATAACTAGTATGTGAGTGAATCTGTTGTTATAACTTTGAGGCCTACTACCTTGAGTGAATCTCTGAATAAAATAGAAATTCAAACTCTTCGTGGGTTCACTTTTGTCCACCCTAAGTACTTTCAGTTTCAGATCTGACAGAGACAATCAATGAAGTTTCCAAGATGAGCAGCGAGATTGGATTGAATCGTGATTTCCATGGGGAGGAAAATTTGCCTTCAAACAGGTATGGATTCTCCTGCTTTCTCCATTTTGTTCACCCCGGCATCAGGGTTCAGCACTGATGGCTTCTGACCAGATTCAAAGCATGTTTGGTAATGATACACTTAGCGTTTGTGTTATAATACAGAAGATCAAGCCGTAATAGCATTATTAGTAAGAAGCAAATGTTATTTAACCAGCAAATAAACGGAATAACTAGCTGGGTGCATTTCAGATCTTCTCTGACGGACTTGAGGAAGGAGCCTGGCACTCAGCAAGCTTGGGGTTTGGGAGCATTTTTTGATTTCAGACTGAGAATGTTCAACCTGTATCATGATTTAGAGAAGAATATTCACATCTCAAGAGCACCGAGAAAGGATTTGAGCGTTTCCAAGGAGTTTGAGGTGTGTCAAAGGAGGATTTAACATGGATGTCAAAGTAACAGTCTTAGAAATTCATCACAGGATTTTACGATGAAATACAGAGTCTAGAAGAAAATCCAGAAGCCTATACAATACAACCAGCTGAATGCCAGAAAGTTGCATATTAGTAACTGTTTAGTTGCAGGTGGACACAATATCTTTATTTATTTATTTATCTGTCCTTTCTTTTATGTGGTGTTGAGGATGGAACCCAGGGCTCACACATGCTAGACAAGCGCTGTACCCCTGAGCCACAACCCCAGCCCCAGATAGGAGGCTTTCATATTTAGCTTGTTTCTTAACTGGATCAAGGGGTTCAGAGCACAGCCTTTAACCAGTAGGACCAACAAAGCATTCGCAGCTTCTGGGGCCCAGCATTCAGATCCTCAGAAATTAAAGATCCCGTTTCTACTTTGAATCTTGGGTCTCAGAGCAGGGGGGAAAGCCAGGGGGTGGTCTGTGACGTGCTTTTCCTGTAGACCTCATGGTAAGGGCGACTGTCCAAGGCCAGCAGGGGACCCAGCACCCATCAGCCCATGGGCAGCCCATCTCCTCACAGGAATCTTGTTTTTGGCGGGGGTGGGGTGGTGGTGGAGGGGTGCCTGGGGTTCTAACAACCTCTTGTGTTCACTGTTTCTAACATCAGGTTGTGGCTTTGGCTCAGAGGTCTCAGCCAATGGCCAATGATTTTTTGGGGGCGGGGGCAGTAAGTTGACATTTGCTGCCAATTTTTATCGGACCCAGTCAGAAATCTGAGGTGTCTGAGGTGTTTCTTACACAAAGAAACAAAATGGACAGAAAGCCACAGTTGCCCCCTGCAGTGATGACCACTCACTGGAACTTTGTTTCCTTTGAACTTGCATCTTGTGGCCATGAGCTAGGCAAACCCGGAGGCCAAGGGCCCTCTTAGAGCATGAAGTGACCCTTGGTACCCCCAGACCCAGAGATCAGGGAGACCAGTGCCTAAAAGAGTTTCAGATCTGAGAGGAATCTACTCATGACTTTTGGGGCTCCATGAGGAAGACAGAAGACCCCCAAAAGGGGGGGGAGGCACCTTACTTGCCTTCTTCAAGGGGGTCTCAGGGTCACCAGACATCTCCTTCAGCACCTTCCTAGAGGGGCCAGAACCCACCCCAGTGTTTCCTCTGGTAGATTTTCATCCACTGACCCCCAAATAGAGGTGCAGGGCTTACAGGGGAGCCTTAAAGGGAACTGGATGGAGGATCGGAGGTGGCAACAGGAGGAGGAGGAGGAGGAGGAAATGCAAGGATCCAGCCTCAGAGAAGCCAGTGTGGGGAGAGGAGTAAATGATCAGCAGGTGTTCAGAAACGGAAGGTCAAAAGCCGAATATCTTCTCTGATAAGTGGATGCTGATTCTTAGTGGGGGGGGGGTAGCAGTGAAGGCAGTCTGGTTTGTGTAGAGGGGAGGGAGGGAGGGGTGGGGCGGTGGGATGGAGAGGACAGAGATTGAGATAGACATGCACGACTGCACTACTGCAGTGAGTCTGCACCAGGTACAGAATGAGAAGTTGTGCTCCACTTGTGAACAGTGTGTCAAAATGCGGTCTACTGTGGAATGAATGAATAAATAACAGGGGTTCAGTTGACTGAGAAATTTCCATGGGAGAGCAGGAGCCTATAGAGAGAGAAATGTTACAAAAATGATACCCTGAACGTCAGCCTTTAATTGACCCGAGTTAGATCCTAGAGCTCTTTTAAAAAATCTTTTTCCTTCTTTTTAAGTACAGGACAATTCTGTTTTTAATATCCTTGTTCTTAAATATCTGTAAACCTCTGAAGGCAAACAGGGAAGTTTCTGTGGCTGATGAGAACGATTGGTGGACTTTGAGTTGCTTGTAGAATCACACTTATGTCTTTATAAAGATTCAAGTTGCAGCTGAGTGCCGTGGCGCACGCCTGTAATCCCAACTGCTCAGGAGGCTGAGGCAGGAGGATTGCAAGCCTAAGGTCAGCACCTTAGTGAGTGCCTGTCTCAAAATAAAAAATAAAAAAAGCTATAGCTCGGTGGCTGAGTGGTTGCCCAGCATGCATGAGACCCTGGGTTTGATTCCCAACACTTGAAAAAAAAAAGTCGCAAGGCAAGGGGGGTTGACATTAATTTTTTTTTAAAGTTGGGTGGCAGACTAATGTAATGAAGGGGCTGACCCATCTGTCTGTCATCTTGTCTTTCATATCAGAGAGCAGATTTCCAACTAAGATGGAAAAAAAAGATTTTTCTCTGCCCAACATAGAGCTATTTGAAGTGTTTGAATACACCACTTTCTTTCTCTTTGAGTGTATGATTCCATTGTTGCTTAGGAGAGAAGGAAAAAATCTCTTATGCTCAGAATAAAAGTCAGAATTCCAAACCAACAGTACATGTTCAGGTGACTCAAGGCACAAGTATAAATCAAATTAATTTTTACTCGAGACCAAAACTAACAAAATCTATTATGACTTTTCCCAAGGTCTTCAGAAGAGGGAGCAAAAGATGCAACCCTTTCACGAGGCAGACCATTTGCAAAGATGGGCAAGAAGAAAGAAGAGCTGAGACAGCTCAGTGGTCGGTAGGCGGCGGCCAGGGGGTGCGGCCCCTGCTCCTCCCTGACAGGGTCTCAGGGTTCCCACCTGGTGGGTGGCTGCCTTCCCACAGACCCCAGACACACTGACCCCATCGAGGAACAGTGAAACAAGAAAACAAAAGCTGTTCACAGAGGAGGAAGGAATCCCTAACAATGAGAACCCCAACAGCCGAGCATCACACAGATTCAAAACAACAATTCAAACTAATTTTTCTTCAGATGTTTTTCTCCTGAATTTAAGGAATTAATGTACTAAAGAAATAAGAGTTACATTCAGTGGAGTGGAAGTTTAAACCAGGGACTCAGAGATTCAAAAGGTCTTCTGATTTAAAGAATTTTAGCCAGGTGTGGCTAAAATTAGCACGCCTGTAATCCTGTGACTTGGGAGGCTGAGGCAGGAGGATCATAAGTTCTAGGCCAGTCATAGCAACTTAGTGAGACCCTGTCTCAAAACATCAAAAGGACTGGGGATGTAGCTCAGTGGTTAAGCACCTCTGGGTTCAATCCACAGTACAAAAACTAAAAATATTTTTAAAATTTGTTCGATTCATTAATTAATTGAAATAGGGTCTCACTAAAATGCTGAGGCTGGCCTTGAACTTATGATCCTCCTGCTTCAGCCTCCCGAGTTGCTGGGATTATAGTCATGTGCCTTGTCCAGCCATTATTTAATATTTAAAAATGAAGTTGTGACATTATCAGACAGACCTAAGATCAAGCTAAAGGACAATCCTTAGGACTGAATGTATTGTCTGATGGTAAGAGGGACCTCATCTTTCCTCATTGTTCATTTTCTTATTGTTGAGGGTATGTTTTGGGGTAGATAGAGTGATTCTCTCTTTTAACCTAGTCACAGTTCAGAAGGCAAGGTCAAGGAGACAATGCACAATGACTTTTGGGACCATCTTAAGGAACAGCTAACAGCTACTCCCCCTGACTTCAGTTGTGCTCTCGAACTTCTGAAAGAAATCAAAGAGGTGAGTGACTTCCATTTGTAAATAGAAAGTTCCCAGATATCCTGAGCTAATACTGAGTATCAATGACTAGCAAATCCTAACTGAACATGGTCCATCAATCAGTCACACAGAAATTTGAACAGGAATGGTTTAATATCAAAATAACTCTGACAACAGAATTAGAGAAATGTCGGTGCTTGCCAGAATTTCATTCCTTTTTATGGCTGAGTGATATTCCATGCTTTGGATAAACCACATTTTCTTTATTCATCAGTTGATTGACATGTTTGCTTCTGTCTTTTGACTACGGTGAATAATACTGTTATCAACATTGGTATACAAGCATCTATTTGAATCCCTGCTTGGAATTCTTGTAGGTGGATGCTTAGAAATGGAATGGCTGGATCATATGGTAATTTTATGGTTGACATTTTGAGGAACTGCCAACTCCTCCACAGCAGCTGTACATTCCCACCACCAGTGCACCAGCGTTTCAGTTTCTCTACGTCTTCGCCAACACTTTACATATTCTAACTTTTTTTTTTTTTCCCTTGGTGTGTAATACTGAGGGTTGAGCCCAGGGTGATTTTACCACTGAGCTACATCCCAAGCCCTTTTTATTTTTTATTTTGAGACAGGATCTTGCAAAGTTGCTGAGACTGGCCTTGAACTTGTAATCCTCCTGTAGTAGCTAGGATCACAGGCATGCACCACTGTGCCTGGTGCTGTGTTCCAGTTTTTTGATCATAGCTTTCCTAATGGGGGTGAAACATTATCTCACTGTGGATTTCACTTGTGTTTCTCTAATGGCTACAGATGTTGAGCACCTATTCATGTACTTACTGGCCATTTTTACATCTTTGAAGAAATGTTTACCCAAGTCTTTTGCCCATCTTTAAATAGGGTGTCTGCCTTTTTGTTGCTGACTTTTAGGTGTTCTTTACATATTCTAGATACTTTATCTTTGTAGATATATGACTTGCAAATATTTTCCTATTCTTTGATTAGTGTTTTCATATTTTTTTTTGTCTTATGATGCTCAAAAGTTTTAATTTTGATGAAGTTTACCAAATTCAGGATCATGAATAAGTCTATTGATTTTTTTTTCCTTCTCTGTAGTGCTGGGGATCAAACCCAGGGCCTCACCCACATTAGCAAGTGCTCTTCCACCAAGCCACACCCCAGCCCTTCCTATGATCTGTTTTAAGTGTTTCATAGTTTCAGCTCGTAGGTTTTAGATCTTTGATCCATTTTGAATTATTTTTTAATAAATAACTTCATTCAGCTTCATTCTTTTATGTGCAGATATTTTTTTCTTTTATGTGCGGTATTTTTCCAACACCATTTGTTGAAAAAGATGTTCTTTCCCCCATCAAATGCTCTTGGCCTTGCTGTTCAAAATCATTTGACCATGTTTCCTTCTGGGATCTCTCTCTGTTGGTCTATATGTCTGTAGTTTTTTTTCCATTAAATGCTTGGTTGCTTATGGGCCATTTTATTTGATGATGTATTCCTGTTGTGCTTGTCCACTGAGATTGGCTGGGTCCGTCACACAGCACCTAGCTCCTGGTGGGAAGCTCAGCCCTATGGTCACTTGATGCCATAGGCTCAGTAGGGAGCCATTTCTCAAAAGGCAGATAGTTATCTGCAACAGAGGGTGTCGATGTGCTTCAGAATCCCAAAGGTCTATGTTGGGATTCTCCTACAGTTGCTTGCAAGACGTTTCTTCACAGCATCCTTGATGACCACGGACACTTAAGGTGCCATTGGGTCTCCTGGCTCATAAGACCCAGGCTGTAGAGTGGCTTGTGCTGCCGTCTGAACTTGCTGCAGAGCCTGCTCACTCACTGGAGATTTGTAACCTTATGAGTGATTCTAAACGAGTAAACTCGAATCTGGTGTATTGCCTCAAAAATCCAGAAAAGCCTCCCAAGTGTGCCTCTGTTGTGATGGTAGTGGTTTGAAGGTAGCAACTTGTTACTTGTTTTTCGTCTCGGAGGGGATACCTGTTAAGCCCAGACCCCTGCAGCCGTAGAAACCACGAGGTGTGCTGGCCTCTGAGTGTATGTGGGGGTGGTCTCCGTCTTCTGGTCTGCATCATCTCTTTGAGGCGTCTCAAGCGCTCACTGTGTCCTGCTCACGGGATCCAGGGGCAAGTGTTGGAGTTCAAACCTCACTTACGGGCCGACTTGTTGGTCAGTCAGGGTACGGTAGGAGGCAGGAAGCACGCCTGGTTTGAACAGAGACGCTTCTGAGATGTAGGAAATTGCTGGGAGGAGAGGGCCGGAGCCAGGGAGGAAGGCCCTTCCTCCTGAGAATCCCTTTGGTGCCTTCCATGCACAACAGCCTCCCAACCAGCAAAGGAACAGGAGTTCAAGGACCAGCCCCATCTTCTCAGAGCAGGCGCTGCAGGGCTGGTTTGGAACAGTCTCCCAACTGGTAACTGTCCTAACTCGACCGTTAGGATAGGGAGTGTGAGCAGCGCCGTCTTCTCTAATGTGAAGCTGGACGGGGACCTGCTCTGACACACAGCGCTCCCCTGGATGAAGCCTGGGGCCCAGGCCTCGCCACAGTGTGTGTTCCAGAGGCAGAGAGGTGAATCCGAATCCCTGTCCACCGGGAACTTACATTTTTGGGTTTAACAGGTGACTTCAGGGGCCTCTGAGCAGCAACCTGGTCTGTTTGGTCACTGCCTCTCCAGGAGGCCTCCCTTTACAACTGAATGGTCACATCATGTGATGACATTTGATGTTTGTTGTACTCTGTACTTCTTAATCACACTCCTTAATTTTATTCATCTCTTTATCCCATTTTGTATAGAAAATGTTACATTATTGCTATAATTGGTTCTCTTAAAATCTGAATTATCATTGGCCTCTAAATAAAGATAAATAATATCCTATAAGGAATTTAGAGGCTCAAATTGTGTTCCTCAAAAGATACAGGCTGGGATCTACCTTTTGGCCATCTCACCAAGCAGTTCCTGTCACATACACGGGAAGGAGAGAGGAGGGGAGGAGAACAAAGGAGGCCCAGGATGCCCACCTCCTGGGGTACCAGGACACCAGCTATGGCCCCTCTCCCTCCTGGGAGAAATCTGTTATCCCTTTTAAAATAAACCCTTCTTCATATTCTTAAAAAAAGATATAACCTGGATGGCTGGGGCTGGGGCTCAGTGGTAGAGCACTCGCCTAGCACGCGTGAGGCCCTGGGTTTGATCCTCATCACCGTATAGAAATAAATACATAAAACAAAGGTGTTGTGTCCATCTACAACTAAAAAAAAACCTTAAAAAGATACAGGCTGTCCCTGGCTAAAGGGGTGGCACAGGGCTGGGGTGTGGTTCAGGGTAAGAGATTTCCCCACTGGGGAAAGTTGGGACTCTGAACAGAACCGGACTCCTCTTGACCTTCTGTCCTGGGCAGATCTTGCTGTCACTGCTGTTACCACGTCAGAACCGCCTGAGAAGTGAGATTGAAGAAGCTCTGGACATGGAGTTGATCAAGCAGGAGGCAGAACACGGAGCCCTGGACGTCCCTTACCTTTCAAAGTACATCCTCAACATGATGACTCTGCTGTGCGCTCCGGTCCGAGATGAAGCCGTACAGAAACTCGAGAACATCACCGACCCCGTTCGGTTACTGAGGTGTGAGACTCATGCTGACCCCCGAAACCTGCTCCTGCCCCGGCCGGGGAAAGTGGAGCCAGACACGGGTCATAGCCATCGTCTGGGCTGACTCTTCCCCGCCAAAGACCTAACACCCCTGTTCTCCTCTCGTCTTTTCCAAAGACGGCCCCATCGTGGCCTTGTCTGTGGGGGACTCCGCTGTGTGACATGCTACCATAAGACAAAAATCCTCTCTCCTAAAGAGTGAAGCCATCCGTTCCCCGGGTTTTCTCTTGCCCATTTCACATAGTCTAAGGGTCAGTGATGGATAGCTGTAGGAACTAAGGAACCGAGACCCAGGAAGAGAAAAAAAAGAAGCCGCCATTGCCCAGAGAGTCAAAATAGCATCCCCTGTAATCCCACTGCGCGGAGGACACCCCTGACAAGCTGGTGTGTCCCTCCCTGACCACCCTTTATAGGCGACAGCAGAATGACCACTGTGGGAAGAGACGGAGCTCTTCCTAGTTGCGCCACTCCCTCCCTCTGGGCTTCGGGTCATGTCCCGTGTCTGTAGACGTGGGAGGTGGGACTGAGTGGGTCCTAAGACCTCCCCGATCCCAGAGAACAGAGACGCCATGACCGCCGCCCAAGTGGGCGTCCCTCACTAGATTCCCTTCATGGTGTGACTGTTCTGTCTCCCGTGTCAGAGGGATCTTCCAGGTCCTGGGCCTGATGAAGATGGACATGGTGAACTACACCATCCAGAGCCTGCAGCCACACCTCCAGGAGCACTCCATCCAGCTGCAGCGGGCCAAATTCCAGGAACAGCTCAACAAGCAGCCGAGTATGTAGGCCGCGAGGAGCGGCAGAGGGGTGGGGGGAGCTGATGAGACCTTCCCGAGCCCATGCGGACTCTTTTAAGAATAGAAAGTTTCTCCCTCAGGTAAGGGGAGGGAGAAGGAACTTGAAGACAGAGAGACCCCAAAGCACTTACTTACTAACCAGGACATTTTGAAAGGAACCTTGGTCTTCAGGCCCCAGGGGAAAAGGTGCCAAAGATGCTGTCACCCCCGCTCCCCGCCCCAGGTCTCCTGGACCACACCACCAAGTGGCTGACGCAAGCAGCGGCCGACCTGTCCACTCCACCCTCCGCGGCCCTTGACCCGCCTGACTCTTCCAACGTGGCGGGCCCTGCGCCAAGTGAGGCAGCCAGCAACTCGGAGCCCCTGAGCCCCACGATGGTGCTGTCCCAGGGCTTCCTGAACCTCCTTCTCTGGGACCCTGAAAACGAAGAGTTCCCCGAGGTAGGAATGTGGGGGTCTTGCCTTGGTCTGTATTCTGGCCTTCTGTCGCCACCGTGCTGTCCTGAATGACCGCTGACCTCTGCTCCCCAGACCCTGCTGATGGACAGAACCCGGCTGCAGGACCTCGAGTCCCAGTTGCACCAGTTAACCATCCTGGCCTCGGTCCTGCTCGTGGCCAGCAGTTTCTCTGGCAGCGTTTTGTTTGGTTCGCCCCAGTTTGTGGATAAACTGAAACGCATTACCAAGTCCCTGATGGAGGAATTTAAGACCAGGTGAGCGCAAGGTCTCTTAGAGTAGACGGTGAATCACTGCTCCCTGCCCACCACAGACCACAGGCCCTCGGGGGCCACCCACAAGCAGTGGTTTCTTTCCCTAAGTGATCTTGAGGCTTGTGACAAAGAAAAATAAAACTTTCTTCCAAAAAGGGTAGTGTGGAGGATGCTTAGTAGCAAAGGGGTTGTTAGACACCAGCCCTTCATTGTTGTGGGAACGTCACAGCCGGTGCTAGGCATACCCAGGAGTTGGTCAGTCAGCCACAGTGACTGAACACCCCTGAGTCCAGGCAGAGAAGAACCAGAGGCCAAGGTGAGGGCTGGGATGTGACTCAGAGGTCACGCCGAGCCTGCCCGGCACTACAAGGCTCTGGGCCAATTCCCAGCATCACAAAAACCCGACCCCACCAACCCCAGAAGGACAGGATTGTAACTGATGAGGTAGGACAGAGGACCAAGGAAAAATCTTTAAAATGTCCATATAAAGTCCACGGACAAAGGAATGTGGATGGTGGCTCCTGGGGCAGAGCTAAGCCCCTTCCAGAGTTGGTTTTATAGTCTGTCTTCCAAGGAGTAGGACGTGGTACTGTGGGTGGAAACAGGTGGTGTCTTCGAAGGAAGCAGAGAGGACACAGTACCTGGACAGGGGCCTGTCCACGGGGCCTGGGCCTTGCCAGGGGGTGGGGCTGGGTAGATGGCTGGGACTCGCTCTCAACTGGGCCTAAATTCCTGTGGAGTTTGCTGTGTCTCTGTGCCTCTGCCAGGGTCACCACTGGGTGCCAGCTGACTTTCTTTCCTGGTCTAGGCCTGAGGAGGCTATGAAGACTGTGAGCGAGCAGGTGTCTCAGGAAATCCACCAAAGCCTCAAGACCATGGGCCTGGCTGCGCTGAGCAGTGAGAACACGTCCTCTCTGACAGGGCAGCTCGAGAACATCGCCAAGAAGGAGAACTGCGTCCGCAGCGTCATCGGTGAGTGTCCCAGAGGGAGTGTCCCAGCCCAGAACGTCACTCACTGAACCACAACAATTACAGACCGGGTCACTGGGCAGCCACCGTTTACCAGGCTGGAATTACGTCCCTTTGCAGTTCAAGGACTGACTATGCTCTAAGGAAGATTTGCTCCCAGGGATTCATGACCCTTTGGGTGTGGGATATTGTCCAAACTGGACACGTCACCCTGGCCCACTGGGTGTTCTCTCAACTGTAATCTGAGACCCTTGGCATCCCCCAGTAGGGACACACACACACACACCCCTGCCAACAAGAAATTATTGCTGGGCTGGGGTGCCGCTCAGTAGGACAGTCTGCCTAGTGTGCATCAGGCCTGAGTTCCATCCCCAGCGCCACAAAAACAAAACAACAAACAGTGTTGCTGAACAGGCTGAAACCCATGTCCCCAGGGTGAGGAATTGCCCTGTCCACCTGTTGGAATGGAGACCCTGGACTTGGGCAGCTGAGATCCTCCTGCAGGCCAGATTCTCAGTAGGATGGACTGATGGCTACTTAGGCCTTCCTGAACGCTCAGAAACTGACTGACCCTTAAGTGCTGCATAACCTCAGCAAAGCCACCTTCCCTTTCTGCGGGGAGTGGGCGGGCTGCTTCATCTCTGAGCTTGGAAGGCAGTGAGTGGAGTGCAGGCCCAGTGCTTCTCCCTGAAATCTGCCCTTTCCCCCCTCTCTCTCTTCCTGCTCACAGATCAGCGGATCCACTTGTTTCTCAAGTGCTGTTTGGTTCTTGGAGTGCAGCGATCTCTGTTAGACCTTCCCGGAGGCCTCACCCTCATTGAGGCAGAGCTGGCGGAACTGGGCCAGAAGTTTGTGAACCTGACACATCACAACCAGCAGGTGTTTGGCCCCTACTACACGGAGATCCTCAAGACCCTCGTCTCCCCCGCTCAGGCCCTGAGCGCCAAAGTGGAATCTCTCTGATAGCACCACTCAGAGCCCTGGCATATTGGACTCAGGAGAAGGCCATCATCTTCCTGGGTAACGTCACCTTGACTGGCAGGACAGCGAGGCCCGATCCCCACAGCCAGTATGCCAGGGCTGAAGGGACTAGCAAGTGAATGCCAACTGGTCCAAACCCATTCACCAATGAACATTCAAACTGCAAAGTAAAAGAAAAGAAAAACAAAACAAAAACAACCCTCCACTCTTCCTGTGCTTCAGCTGAGGTCAGGCCCCGGCCCTCAGCCCAGAGCTAGCTGAGAAGTCAACAGGCCCCATGTCCCCTTCTTTGGCCTTAGGTCCCCTTTAAGCACGTGCAGCTGAGCATCCAAGACACTAGGTCCTAGCATTAGTTTCTCTTAAGGGTGAAGCATTTCTCTGAGAACTCCCATGGAATTATCCAAGATGTGAGTCTAAGGACTTCTCGGGACGCCTTTGTTTCGTCCAGTTCAGATGGGCAGAGGGCATGGTTGGAAGCAGTTAGGAAACTCTTGGTCAGGACTAGATTCCCCTGAAGGTTTCAGATGATCCCAGAAGTAAAGGAACAGGAAAAGCCTCAGCTTCATCTTGAGTCAGAGTTGCAGACTGGCAGCTGGATGCCCATGGGCGCTGGGGACAGGGATCAGCACTCACCGGTCCTCCCAGGTTGTCGGGGTTCAGCTGGGGCCTTTAGGTCAGTTTTCCTGGTCCTGTTCTCTAGCCCAGCGAGTCTCCTGCTCCGTCTCTGAGCTTAGAACACCTGTTCTTCAGACAGAGGGATGATTGTGCTCAGAGGGGGCGGGCTTCCCTCCAGCTCCCCTCTGGTCTGGGAGGGGCTCCTTGTCACTGATAGACACCAGTCGGGAAGGTTCTAGGAAAGGGCCTGCTTCTCTCGGACTGTAGGTTTCCAACCCATGGTTTTCAGGCCGACTGCAACAGAGCAGCCCCAACATAGTGTGGTTGAGATGAGGCAGGTGTGATCCAGATGTGATCTCTTTGTAATGGACAAGAGAACATGAAGGTGCACTAGGGTGCCTTCTCAAGGGGCGGGAAGATCAACAACACTCGCCATTCAAGAGACGGAGGTGTAACGCTCTGAATGTAGCAGTGGCAACACGGAGAGATTTGAGTTCTAGATCTAGGGCTCTCCCCTAATGGAGGCCATTTGCTAGAGGATAGAGTCTAGGGGTGACCAGAAAGCTGGGGGCGTGGATCATTCCAAGTTTCCAGTCTCCCACCTGCACAGCCTCAGGACGGGGAAGCCCAGAAAAGGTGGTGTGTTGAATAAACAGTGAGGCTTGGTGAACTGGATACTCTGATTTGCAACAATCTGATTTTGAAGCCATCCACATTTTGGAAGCCTCAGGCTCTTAGAGGCAGAGGTGCTCTTGAGGGATTCCTGTGGGGAAGAGCTCGGGCTGTGGCGCTGACGCCGGGCTGGCAGTAGAACCTGACTTTGTACTCAATCATTAAAATCTGGAATAATCAACTAACTAGATATTTCGAATTGTTTTTTCTTGTGCTTCTACATGGAAGAGACAAGGATCCTGTCTCTAAGTCCATTCAATCCTCCTCACTGTTTTGAGGGGATTTAGTATTTTTTGTATTTTAAATTGTAGATAGAACATGAAGTTTGCTGTCGGTGATACTGAATCGTTCACAATGGCATCCAAGATCCTGGCTAAGTCCAGAACATTTTCATCAGCACAAAAGGAAATTCCATTCTAGTGACAAGTGGCTCCGTCCTGCCCCCTCCTCGCCTCTGGTAACCACTGACCTGCTTTGTGTCTTGATGGGTTTTCTGACTCTGGATAGTTCACGGATCCTTTTGTTTTCCTTTGAGCCACGCTGGTTGAGCCCAGGGCCTTGGACATGCTAAGGCAAGACCACCACAGAGCTGCATTTCATTCCCCAGCCTTCGCGTGTGTGCTCTGGGCAAGCGCTTTACCAACACTGAGCCACATCCCCTTCTCCCCAGCCCTTTCTACAAAACTTATAAGACAGGCTGGCCTCAAACTTGGGATCCTCTTGCCTCGGCCTCCTGAGTAACTGAAACTACAGGTGAGCACTGCTGTGTCCAGCTCATGTAGCTTTTCCTGACTTCTGACTTCTTTCAGTTTTCAAGATTCATAATGTAGCATGTTTATCATGAAAAAGTTGTTTGAATGCTTTTTCCTAAATCAAGAAATGATCATGGGGTTTTCTTCATTGTATTTGTGTGACATATTAACATGATTTGATGTTCCTACAATGAATCACCCTTGCCTTCATGGGGTAACACCACTTGAAATTGGTGTCTGGTGGCTTTTTTTCTGGAGATGGGGGTCTTGCTATGTTGTTCAGACTGGACTCCAACTTCTGGGCTGAAGCCATCCTCCTGCCCTAGCTTCCTAATTGGACTGCAGGTGTCTGCCTAGAATCCTTTAAATATGCTGTTGGATTCAGTTTGCTAGTATTTCATCGAGGATTTTTGTGTTCTCATAAAGGATATCATGTTGTAGCTTTCTTGTGTGCCTTTGCCTGGCTTGGAATTAGGGTCATTCTGGCCTCCTGCCAGAGCTAAGAAGTGTTCTCTCTCCCCTTCTCTCTCGTTTGACAAGAATGGTGTCAGTCTTTCTTTAAATGCTTGCTAGACTTCAGTAGACCAGTGAAGCCATCTGGTTGCAGAAGTTTCCTTGTTAAAAGCTTTTAATTACTAAACTCTGTATCCATTTTTTTTTTTTCTTAAATCAGTTTTGGTCATTTGAATGTCCCTGGGACTTGATCCATTTCATGTAGGTCATCTACTTTGTTGACATACAGTTGTTCATGGTGTGGTTTTTTTTTTTTTTTGTAATTTTTTTTTGTTTGTTTCTGGGGGATTGGTAGTAAACTGCCCCCACCCTGCATTTCTGATTTTAATTACTGTATATTTTTATTATTTTCAGTTGTTAGCAATAACTGCTAATTAATAGAAATTGTAATAAAGGTTTGTGAATGTGGTCTCTCTAAAAGTATTTCATTGTCCTCTCTCTCCTTGTTCTTGTGATGAGGTGGAGTGAGGTTGGGGACGTGGCGTTTGTGTTAGTCTGAACCGTTATTGACATTGTTATGATCTGTCAGCAGGATCCTCTGTTTGACTGTGGAGCGTTGAGAGGGTCTGTGCAGGCAAGGCTGATAACTGGAGCTCCTCAGTCGTTAGGGCTTTTCCTGACACTTGTAGTAAACACTACAAGTGTCACTAATTGGAATTTCTCCTCATTGGAAGTTGTTTTTGTTTGTTTGTGTGCAGCGGATGGCGCCCAGGGCGTATGCTCTGCCACGGGGCCATTGATGAATGTCATTGCATCATCAGGAGTGAAGACCTTCTAGAACTGCACTGTGTCTAGATCGATTGCTGATTATGAGAGCTCTACCACTGCGCCCCCTTTTAACTCATCCAAGTACGGCCTCAGAGTTTCCATCCTCCGGTGATCATATGGGTGATTCAATGCTACCTTCCATCTGAGGACTGTACTCTGTGACTTTGTCCTTTTGATGCATTTGAAACACTTCAACACATTTCAGGAATGTCCACATCGAGGTTCTGCTTGTCTCTTCCTCTTCCTCTTCCTCTGTAAATGACTAAACAAGTCCTTCCTGTTCCTTTCTTGTTGATACTTTTCAAGACTCGTGATATGTTCTTCCAGTTCTTCAAGCGTGTTGTCAAATCCCCCTCCCACAGCTTCTCTGGCTGCCTGGATGATATTTCTCACTTTTGTATCAATCTCTGGGAAAGCTGTGAAGTCACTCTTGATTCGATCTATATGTTCTTCCTGCAGGTATTTGCAGTTTCTGGTTTTAATTCATCCATTGCAACTTTGAAGAACGTTATTGCATCAGCAGGAGTGAAGACTTTCTAGGACTGCCTCATGTCCAGATGAGGGTCTGCATCAATTACTGATTACGAATTAAAAAAGAAAAAACAGGCGGAGGGATGTGGCCTTGGAAAACGGACTAATTGCCCTGGCCACGGGGCTGAGGCAACGAGGTTGTATTTGAACAATTGGAATAACAACCTTGATATCGTCTTTTTTTTTTTTTTTAATCTTTATTTTTATATGGTGCTGAGGATCGAACCCAGGGCCTCGCACGTGCTGGGTGAGCGCTCTACCGCTGAGCCCCAGCCCCAGCCCAATATTGTCTTTTTAAATAGCAAACAGATCCAGAATGGCCAGTGCATTGTCTAGTGATCGTAGGACTTGAAATTCCAGCCCTTCCTCTGCCACACGCTCTCGTTACTCCTGGGATGAAACGCTCCATCAACAAGATGACTGTCACTTGTGCTTCCTCAGCAGGTTGCCAGACCTGGGCAGGTAAATTCTGCCTTTGGGAGTACACGTGTCCCCTTCTGCTTTACCCCCGGCTTTAACATGTGCCCTGTGGCATTGCCATGCAGAGTCCCTCTGTCCTGCCGCGTCCCCTCTCTGGTGCGTCCTTTGCTCTTGTATGCAGGTGGGTGCCAGTGAGCGCCTCTCCCAGGAGAGCCAGGTTCCCTCTCAGCTGATGACCCTGTGGTCGTGCCCTTTCTCCTAACTTCAACCCTCCTGGAAATGTGCCAAACACAGCCTTGGCACTAATTTTTGTATTTTTCAGTCCACAGCTGATCTGGAATCTGTGTAACCATCCCTCAGTCATAGTAAATGGCTTGATGTCACTTGTTGCAGGGTGTCCCTGGCTGAGGCTTTTGTGTAGCTCCAGCTCTGTTTGGCACAGTGTGGCCAACAGCCATGGAACATTTTCTCTTCAAGTTTTCCTGCAAATTTGATGCCTTTTCCATCACAACTAATTCATCGTACACGGTGGCCATGACTTTTGTATGTATGACAGCAGAAGTAGCTGGATTTCTTTTCCCTTCGTCATACATCCACAGATGAGTCTCACTGTAGATTTCAGCAACTCAGCACGATGTTTTTTCCTTTATCGAGTCAAGAGTGTTCACTTTTCACTTACGGGTGGCACTTGTGGCTTCTCTTTGGTACATG